CTGGGCCCTACTTTCTGCTTGTGCTAGGTGATTAGGTATGTCTGAAGAATCCAGAAAGTTTATGTGACCTGGAAGAATGGGAATCTCACTTCATGGAACCCTTCTATTACTTAGAAAAAGAAGCTAAAAGCTCACTGGTGTCCACAGCCTGTCTCTGGGGAGCGAAGGCCAAGTACTGGCTCTGTGACTGCTGTGTAGTGGCAGCCCAGTGACTTAGAGATGCCTTGACATGTAGTGGTGAGGGGGCGAATGACAGCCATGTTTTGCTGTCTGAGGAGTCCAGTATTAGCACTAATTGTTATCTTTCACCCTTTCCCTCACAAGGATAGAAAACTAGATGCCAGGCATGAAGGAGAAAAGGGCATGCGGGATGCTGAAAGTATCTGCAGGTCTGTGTGTGGAGTGTGGCATAATCAGGAAGTTGGTAGTGAGGTATAAAGCCCCTCCACGCCCGCCGGCGCCCAGCCTCCAGAGCTTGCAGACGAGCGAGCGGTCTCATCATGTTTTCCAAGGCGTCTGTGGTTCTGGGTTGCTGGGATATTCGCGGGCTGGTGCACACCATCTGCCTGCTCCTGGAGTTCACTGATACAGCCTATGAGGAGAAGCGGTACATCTGCGGGGAAGCTCCTGGCTATGATCGAAGCCAGTGGCTAGATGTGAAATTCAAGCTAAACCTGGACTTTCCTAATCTTCCTTATCTGATGGATGGCAAGAACAAAATCACCCAGAGCAACGCCATCTTGCACTACATCGCCTGCAAGCACCACGTGTGTGCTGAGACTGAGAAGGAAAAGATTAGGGTGGATAGAATGGAAAATCAAATAATGGATTTCCGCATGCGACTGGTGCGGCTTTGCTACAACTCTGACCGTGAAAAATTGGAACCTCAGTACTTGGAACAGCTGCCTGGACAGTTGAAACAATTTTCCTTATTCCTGGGGAAGTATTCGTGGTTTGCAGGGGAAGAGCTCACTTTTGTGGATTTTCTCACCTATGATGTCTTAGACCAGAACCATATATTTGAACCCAAGTGCCTGGATGAATTCCCAAATCTGAAGGATTTCATGTGCCATTTTGAGGCTTTGGAGAAAATAGCGGACTATCTGCAGTCTGACCAGTCTGACCGCTGCTTTAAGATGCCCATCAATAACAAGATGGCCAAGTGGGGCAACAAGTGCTTGTGCTGAGTGAGAGACAGAGTCGCACCGCTTTCTTTTCCTGGCCTGTCATCTGGGGACCTGTACTCTGTCTTCTCTGCTCTTTTCAATAAATAATGCTTGGGTTTTTTTTTTTTTTTTAAAAAAAAGGAAGTTGTTTAGTGCCAAACGGTAACAATTGCCTCCCAAAGATAATGCTGAAACATTTTACTTCAATGTACATTAGAGTGAAACATTGTCTGCCAAAAGATTTTATTTTTTTAAAACTGGGGATTGAATTTGGGCTCTTGCGCTTGCAAGGCAAGCACTTATTCTACTGAGCTATCTCCCCAGTCCCCTGCCAAAAGAATTTGACTGAGAAAATTATCAGAAAAGAAAATCCACTGTCAAACCAGACTACTGTTTCTATCACAGACAGATGTACAGCACTTCTTAGGATTGCTGGGCTTTCTGAATGTTCCAAAACATTGAAAATTATGGAAGCTCCTTTTATTAATCTGGGTTATGAGCTAATCTTGATATTCTTATGGCTAATTTACAGTTCCTTTTCCTACCTCTAAGAAAAATATTAGAACAAAGTAGTCATTGAGCAACTTTCAGGATTTTATATGTAGGTACATGAATTGAAAAGTTTAGTGATTAAAGGTAGTGTTCTATAGAAGGATATTGTTAGCAAATGTTCCTTTCTAGTTGGAATTCCATTTGAAGTATCAAAATGGCATGCATGTAGCTATAGCTCCTCATACATGACAGAAAAGTTCTGATGTCCAGGCCTCGGTCTCTGTTGGATCTCTGGTCAGTTGCAGAGGGGATAAATAGTAAAGCGCCTTGTGATAGTAAGGGCTCTTGGTGGTCACCCACGTCAGCCAGAAGCCAGTTCTAGCTGTATAGATAAGAGTAAAGTAGAAACATACAATATTTTAGTGTTTGGGAGACCTCCTTTAGATGCTGTATTAGTAAAGCAATAATCTGCAAGGTGAGGCAAAGTTCCCACAAGACGTGTTTTGTGTATTGCCAGAACTGCCTGTTTATAGTGTGCCCCAAATGCACACTTGTGTGAATAATGGAGGGGAGGAAGAAAATGAATGTAAGAGTAGCACAAAGGCAGAGAAGAAATCATTTGCAACGTCAAGAAGAATGTGTTTTTAATTAATACGCAAGTACCCAGAGAACTTAGATGAAAATGGAACTTGCTGGATGCTTTGCTTTGCTTTCGCACCTGGTAGGACAACTCGCTAAGGGCCCTGCCCTTTCATGTTCAAATCTACAGAACATAGCAAGTGGTAGCCGCCACTTTTGGAAGAGCTCTGGTGTGCCGAGCACTTTTCTTCATTGCAGTAACCCAACGAAATAAAGAAAAAAGAAGCTCAGAGAAGTCAAGTGTCTCATTTAGAGCCGCACAGTGGAGGTGGGAACTCTTAACTCAGGATGGTCTGTCTCCAAATATACAGATGTATAACACTGAGACCAGCTATTCCAGTGCCCATCTTTCTCTCTTTTTAATCTACTCGTTTCTCCTCCTCTATCCATCCCTTCATTCATTTCCTAAATAAAGACACAATTCAATTAAAAAAAAAAACTGAGAGCAGATTGGGTCAGTGATGGCAAACGTTTTAGAGATTTTGAACACCCAGCTGTGGCACACGCCCCAGAGGTTTGCCACCACTGGCTGGGTGGTCAGTAAATGTGTGTTCAGTGTACACAGAAATGGAGAAGGCAGGTACTTGTGAGGACAGTGCACTGAGGTGACCTTTAAGCCAGGTCTTAAATTGTAAGATTGAAATATATTGAGGCCAACATGGGCAACTTAACAAGATCCTGTCTGAAAACAAACTTCAGAAGAACTGGGCTTAGCTAAATTGCAGAGCATGTAACCAGCATGCTTGAGGCCTGGGTTCATCACAGAACACCAGCAGTAAAAAGATAGGTGAAATGAGGAAGGGTGGTTATGAAGGAACAGTGAACAAACAGAGGGTGGGTGGGGGGAATAAATAAGAATGGGAAAGAGTTGCTTTGGCCCTAAAGGATATGCTTGAAGAGGGGCAGAGGGCATGCTGTCACGTGGTTGGCTTGAGGTTGTAGAGGACATCCAGTGCTAGTCGAGACATCTGGACTTAAGTACAAATCCACCAGGAAGAGGATTTCCCGGGTTGCTGAAGTCTAAGACTTGACTGTAGTGGCGTACTTGGCTCCTGTCACGATAATGGTAGAGAGAAGGGGCAAACACAGGCTGCCGAGCAGAGGACACACTAAGACGATGGCTTTGCTGTCCCTTCACGTACAGCTGGCACCTAGGGCTTAGAAAACCTAGGCTCCGAAGTTCTAAGGTATGAACACAATGATTAAAAGTGGTTTTTGCTTTGGTACCACTTTCTGCCTTAGTCTTCTCTAATGTAGAGAAGATCTAGAGCCCTAACTTAATTCCTGGGCATCTGCATCGGTCCCAAGTCTCCCCTGGCACCAGGCACAATTCTCCAGGAGAATCATCAATGGGGTTGAAATACACCCTTTATTTAGTATGCCTTGCCCTCAGAGTTTAAAAGCTGTTCATTTCCTCCTCTGCCAGTTAAAATATTTACCAATATTCACTGAAGTGATGACATTGTCACACAAGATCAATATTTGCTTTACTCTAACCACAACAATCATGGCTTTTTAATATAATTTTGCTTTTCTTTAGTTAATACAAATGAAATAGTGTCCATTTCCCCACAGTACTTTTTTCATTCAGTGTTAGATTCTAGAGATCATTTGTATGTGTCATCTGTAGTGGTCCACAGCATGAACATACTGTGGTTTATTTTTCCACTGGCGACAGTGGCCATTTTTTGGCTATAGAAAGAATGCCGACATGGTCCAGTGCCTTTCTCCTGGTGCACACTTCTGAGACTCTAGAGGCAGTGCTTTTCAAGCTTGCCCGGGCCCCACTCTCCTGGAAGGCTGTTTACGCGGGGCTTGCTGGGCTCGCCAGTGGTTTTTCTGATTCAGCTGTGGGATCGGTCCCCATTGCATGTGTTTCGTTCAGATTTCTGGCTTCTGTTGATCTGATTTCAGAGCCAGCTGTGTCAGAGCATACCTCTAGCTTGGGATGTTAGAGTAGAGTAGAGAAAGCAAAATTTTCATTTGATCGGCGATGCTAGACTTTTTTGCCAGGGAATTGCCAGACTTGGAGTTGTCCTATTTCATGGTTGTTAATAGATGGAGCTTTCCCAGTTAAATAAAGAATGCTCTCCAGGCCGCAATGCCTGTCTATGTACAACACACACATACATGTGTGCACACATGCACACGCACGACACACATGCACACCCTGTCCACATTAAAACCTGTAGGCACTGATCAAATTCAGTGCCAGTTGCTTAAGAAGAATCTTAGATAATTATAGTGATTTTTAATATTATTTTATTGTTCCTTTGGTCTTTAAAAAAATGTTCCAAAGAAAAAGTCCACTTTTGTAAGGAGACTTGTTTCACCAGAAGATACTCCTTTTAATTGAAAATCTCTCAGCTAGGGCCAACAACTAATTGGGGAAAGCTGGTTAGATTTCACAGTAATCTTACTGCATTCCTCAGGAAATCTTTTGAAAGCCAGGTCCAAGTTAATTTTTTTTGTTGAACAGGTTCACAGTCTGGAGAACAAGCTGCTGCGGAGGCTGGCCCATGCCCCAGAAGCACTGCTTTGTAGGTTACTAGCAGTGCATGTGTCAAGGAGCTGCTTCTGTCCCATGTGTTCAGACTCCTCGCAGCGTGGGGGACCTGCACCCTCGTATAGTGACAGGGTGTTCTGTGGGCTTTGGTGTCTGCTGTGTGCGGGGCTGGACACTGATGGCTGTCTGTCTTTCAGCTTTCATGACGCTGGTTATCATCTTGCTGCACGTGTTCTGGGGCGTTATATTTTTTGATGCCTGTGAAAAGAAGAAGTGGTACGTCCTCCTCATCGTCCTCCTGACCCATCTGCTGGTGTCTGCCCAGGTGAGTGTTGCAGCTAAGCACACACTGAGGCTTGGAACTCAAGTCTGTGTCTACAGTGGTATCTTCCACTCCCAGTGGAGCATGTGGGAAAGTCAGCAGAGGGAAAAAAGTCATTAGAGTGTGGGGCTTTGAAGTTTTATTTATTTATTTTTTGAATTTTATTTATTTTTGCATTTTTTTTTAGGGAAGGGTCTACAGGGTGTTCAGGGTCTCACTACTTGATCAGACTCATAGTGATCCTTCTGTTTACAGCCTCCCAAGAGCTGGGATTACAGGCATTCACCACCACGCCCAGTCTCTATCACTGGCTTAGTGCGCCCCAGGGGCGGGGCAGCACTACAGGCCCAAGGATTGAACCCCCGGCCCCTGCGCCTGCTTTAATCCATTGAGTTATTTGGCCAGCCTTTAAAGTTTTATTATAGAAAGACAACCACCACTTTTTTGGTGAGTCTCATTAAAGATTTTTTTCATGTGTATTTCCTTTAAGGGATATAGTTAAATGAAATAACTATAACTATACTTACGTTAGAAAGCACGTCAGGAGGGCCGGGAGATGGCTCAGTAGAATAAGTGCTTGCCTGGCAAGCGCAAGGGCCTAAGTTCAATCCCAGGTGAGTGTTGCAGCTAAGCACACACTGAGAAAGAAAAAAAAAAAAAAAAAGAAAACACATCAGGAACAATTCTATCTCTTAAGATAAACGATTTTGAAATCTTTATATCATGACATAGAAATTATTATAAGGTGATTAATTGGTTAATCACCTCTGTTTTTTGTTATTGTGAAGTGGTCGTGGCCATCTGACTGCATGAAACTTTTTCCACACATTACTTAGTTCCCAGGCTGTGGAGTTAGGAAGCCAAATGGCATGAATATTTTTTAAGCACTTGATACAGATTTCTGAAGTACTCTCCATAAAGTTGTAACATTTTATACATGTTGACCAGTAACAAAAGTGACATCGCTTCTCATTTGTATTACAATAATGCCAATTTTATTTTATTATTTTATTTTTTTAATAATGCCAATTTTAAAAATAAAGTTTAAAAATACTTGATTTATTTTTGAAGTATTATGTAATGCATTGGGCTTGACTTTTATTATAAATTGTCATATATTTAGCTCAGAATGACCTCTGCCACCACCTTCTCCAGACCTTTTTCACTTGTTGCCTGAAGTGTTATGAAGGTTCTTCCTGCTTCCCTTTTCTG